TGGGTTCTCCTCCCAGCAGACCAGGGAGACACGGAGCAAAGCGGTGGAGCACGCGGGCAGCGGGTCAGCCCAGACGCGCCGCAGCTGTCCCGCTGCCGGCATCCTCTGAGGCTTTGCTCCCCGTCTCCCTGCAGACCAGGGAGCCTCCAGCAGACCAGGGAGATGTGGAGCAGCTTTTCTCGCCCCGGAGAACGCGGACGGCAGGACCGCGGCGCATCTGGGCGTCCCGCCACTCCCATCCTCCCGGTGTGAGAAAAGCCCCGTTCGTAACTGAGGATCCGACATAAGTGGGATCCGCGTAACTCGTGGACTGCCTGTATAGACAAATGCATTATCAACACAACTGAGCTAATAGTTATGATTTTGGATGTGTTTGTTTTTTAAGATAAGGGTATAAAGTGTAACCCACCTAAGGCAACAGTAATAACCAAGGTGAGGCTGCCATAGAACTGTGCTGAGCAAGAAAAGAAATCAAAGATGATAATTGAAACATTAATTTCTACTGCTGGTAATTCTCAAAATAAAAAATGATACTACTGTCAGTCCCTCAGTCTGGTAGTGTTGGGGATGGGAGGCGGGAGTGGGCACTCATCCAGTACTAAATAGAGCAAGCCTGAACCAGTGAGTTTCTCAGCCCAAATACAGTCATCTTATTTCAATTCATTTTAAAAAGATAAAATGTGTAAAACTATTTTCATTCATTATAGGTAAGAGGCTCTGAATAGGGTACATATATTAAACATGGAAGAAGAAGATGACTATATGTCTGAGTCTTTTACTAATGTTCAGTAAGTAGCTTGCCTAAGTAGATCATATACATCTGCGTCTAATAACAATACTGATTGTTTTGGAGATTTACTCTTGACATTTTCACTAGTGTTTATGAAGAGCCTGTCATCCCTGAATTAATCATTTTGTCAATTTCCAGGTACTGCATTAAGGGCTAAATCCTCTTTTCATTACTCACCCACGTCACAGGGAGATTTCAATGGGATGAGGAAGAGGTATTTTGGCCAAAATGAAAATTTAGGTCTAATTTTTCAAAAGTAGATGGTGATATTGGAATCCTCAATTTTTGAGTCCCCAGTTTGTCATCTTAAAGGGCCTTGTTTTCAGAGGCTGGTTGCTCAGTACTTTCTGAAATCAGCAGAACCCTTTGGTTAAGCACCAAAAATTCAGGCATCTCATATCATTAATTACTTTAATAAATTTGGCTTCCACCTCTCTTTGTACTTAATTTTTGCATTTATCATGCCTCTGCTCCCAAATATAGATTATTTATAGGAGGCTACAGTGAAAAGTTTAAGTACAATTGTATTCCTTGCATGTCCTCACCATTTCTGCCCATGATGGAAATGAGGCAAGATTGGCCACTAATGAAAATCTTTTGGCAACTGCCATTTCCTAGTATTAACAGATTAATCTGAGATCTTAAACAAGAAATAATCCATCTGAGATGTATAGTAGTCCAGCAGGCAGGATTCTTTCCTGAAGAGCTAACCTTTTAAAGTAGTTAGTTATAATATAGGCAAGCACATTTCTGTAAGCTGCAATCAAATCCTTGCATTGAACTGTATGAGATCCCCTTTGATATGTCAGTTGTACTGCAGAAGAGGCAAGAATGGAAAAAGAAATTTTGTAGGGATCAGGGAACATCCCGATGGAAACGCCATTTGAATTGCATATTAAAAATGTACACATTCTATTGTCAGTTATATTACAGGATACATAATACAGTTAATGTCATTCTTAAAAGCCATTTAAAGGTTAAAGTGAAGTATGTGTGTGTTTGCAAGATGTTGCAAAGCTACAAAAATCACAGGGGGATTAAGGGAAAAGTAGTATAGCAACCCACTTTGAAACTTTTTTAGCATAATTGTATATAGGTTTCAGGTGCTCCATTAAATGTGTGACCTTCAGCTGTAACGAGATTGATTGTTATTGAGGAAACAATTACATTTCTTTTTAAAGAAATCTTAATTAGCTGGGTTTTTTTTACATTTTAGTCATGTCAGAAAAAAATTGAAGTTATGTTTTCCATGGAATACAAGCAGCTAAAATTTGGAACAAAGTTACTTCTCAGTTTTCAGAGTGAAAAAAAAGAATATTGACCTATTTTTTTTGCAACTTCCACACATTTATAATTCAGACAGCACAATGAATTGTATTTAAGTTCCTCCCACAAACAAATAGTACGGCTTAGAAATTTTGGCACAAAAGATAATTTGTAAGGCCATTACAAACAATTGAAATAGGGTATTAGAATGGAAATGCAGTGATTCAAAGATTTGGAGAAATCAGAGCTTAAGATGTTTTGCCACTCCCTATTGTCAAGTGGCAGCTACATCTTGTTTTATCACTAGAATTACAGTGGAGAAGACTGGCATTCTGCTTGGAGACTATAAGAATAATATGTATCAGCCAATAGAATAGAGGCAGTCAGTAAGTGAACCCTCTCCCCTCAGAGGGCCAAATACAGATGCTTTTCAATGAACCCAGACATTTTTTTATTTAGTTATCAAGATTTTATTTTCTCTGGATTATGAACCTTGACTATACCATGAGCAAGAAATTTGGACCCTGACAAAAAATAGATGACTTGTATACGAGAGGTTGCTTAACCAGAGTTGATTCTCTAGCCTCACTGTTTCATTGAAAGGGAATCCTCTGAACTGTCATTCATGTTAAAATTCGACACTTTCCAAAAAGGACTCAATAAACATTTGAACTATCTCACCCGTTACCAAGATAGTTTCCCCAATTATCACCTCTAATACCATTAACTCACAAACATCCCACTCTCCCTACCTCTAATATCATCAATTCACAGACACTTACCTTCCTTCCTCCCCGCCCCCCCTACATCCCCCTCCTGTTCTGCAATGTGATTTGTCCTTTTCATATTTGTTCATTTTTTTTAATTGTATCCTTTGGTATATATGGTTGTGACTACTTTCTTCCACTATTTGATCTGAGGAAGTGGGTCTGGCCCAAGAAAGCTCATCATCTAATAAACCATCTTGTTAGTCTTTAAAGTGCTACATTGTCCTGCATTTTGTTTCATTGTGATGGATTATGCTGCCATTACACATTTGTTACCTCTTAATTTCAAAAAGACAATATTAGATACTTTTCCCCGCCCCTGCAGACAGGACGTCAGGCCAGGATTGCCAAGGCTGAGGCGTATGAAAGAAGCGATTCAAAAAGAAGAAAAGCAAAGGGAAGCTAATCAGAAAAATCGACAAAAGAGCCTAAAAGAAGAGGAAAAAGAAAGGCGTGACAGTGTGTTGAAAAGTGCTTTAGGAAATGAAAACAAAGGCTTTGCTTTGCTCCAAAAGATGGGGTACAAAAGTGGACAGGCCCTTGGCAAGAGTGGTAAGTTTGTTAACTTCTAGAATTTAGATGTATGCCCATTTTTTCAAAATGTAGGTTTTAAAAGGTATCCGTTATAATACCGTTCCACCCATCTCTGGGTGAATTCAATGAATACCTCTTTGAGAACTCATGTCTGTTAGAGGAGCTCTTAATTGCCCCTTTAGCACAGCAGAAGAAAGCACAGAATGTGAGAGCAAGCCCTTAAAATCTTTTAAATAAAGAGTGAGGGATATGGGGGAATTGGAGGAAGAAGACACGGTACTTGCTGCTAACTTTGGCATTTTAGAGATGAATAATGGTTTATGAGAATCTTAACTAGCTATAGCATAACATAGCCTTTTGATTTTGATGCTCCTTTCAAACATGTAATTTTTAAACATTAAAGAACCTAAGCCCCAATCTCCAGTCTCCACAAATGTACAGCTTGATGCTAGAAAGGGATCTGTGCACACAGATGCACGGCACTCTAGTGAAGCAAAAATGTTATCCGGGATCTATACATAGTAAATCACTAAGGGGTGAATAATAGCGAGGCTTAGTTATTGTTTGTAGTGTATCTCAAGATTCTCATATGAAAGAGGCTACGAAAGGATGAAATATATTATTATTAGCTAGCAGACGTACCTGGCGTTGCTTGGGTCTGTAACTCAAGTAATATGGGGGAGGACGTGGATTTGGGAATGGAAGGGGGCATAAAAGGATGATGTACATGCTTTATTTAAATTATTGTATTTTTCAAAAATGGGGGTGTGGCCAGCCAGGGCTGTGCTGCTTAGTTCCGGGGGATGGTTCCAGGAGGCCGCATTGGGGCTGCTGGGTAGTGGGGCTGCTGGCTGCCTCCCCAAGGGCATGGGGAGGTTTGGGGCAGAGGGACCACTTATCTAATCTGGTTGCCAGCCACATGGAGCCCTGTCACCAGCTGGCCACTGTCCTGCAGGTGCAACTGCCCCCAGTGGTCATGGTGCAGTATAGCTGTTCCCTGCACTTGCTGCCCCCAGTGGTCATTCTGCAGTATAGTTGTTCCACTGATCAGCCCCCTCCCTTTCCATGTTAGGAAAAATGTTCCCATTCCAGGCACTTCTTGTTTTTCAGGCACAACCAAACCCTGACCTTGTGTTAAGTTACAATGAAAGGAAGATGCATACCAAATTTGATGGCCCTAGCTCATACCGTTTAGGAGTTCTTGAACAATCGAACTCGCAGACAGATGTACATCTCTAAAATAGACAGATGGACTATTAATATGTTATGACTGTCAAATTAAACGATCCTTCTTTGGTGCATAGGGCAGCAGCCTGAATGTGGTACACAGCAATGCTACAGTTCAACAAAGAAAATAAGGAATGTCTGATATGCTGACCCATTGTCAGTGCATTTTGATGCTCGATTTAGCAAATTGTTTAAAAAATTATCATAGAAACTAATTGTTCAGTGGCAAAATCATATGTTTCCTTTGGTATTTATGATAAGGGGAGAGACCTGACTTCATAAGCTGTCTGTCCTTTTTTCTACAGGAGAAGGCATTGTTGAGCCTATTCCTTTGAACATTAAAACAGGTGTGTAATATTTACCTCTTAATTAGTTGGAATTCACAATCTCTCAGCTGCTTACAACAGTGTTTTGAACTTTTAAACAGGGAGAGGTGGGCTTGGTCACGAAGAATTACAAAAACGGAAAGCAGAACAACAGTTAGAGAACTACAGAAGAAAGATTCATATGAAAAAACAAGCAGATGAACAGGCTGCAGATCAGTTTAGGTAAAATGATTATTTCCAGATTTTGTTGTAAACATTTTCAGGTAAAGGTGCAGGGTTTCACTCTTATCTTTCAGTGATACTGGCTACCTCATGCTTGACTGTTTAAAATGTCTTCTCAATTCTGAATAATATGTCTGAGATGAGTGGGTCATAGGGAAGGTAATTACCAACCATTTTAAAAGAAAAATGCTTTGAGGCATGAAAACTAAAATACATTATTTCCCTCTGCTGTGCCCCTTTATTACTATGGACATTAGCTAGGGTACAGGCAAAATAATGTTAATATTGCCATTTGTTAAAGAGTGCAACTCAGAAATCTGTTTTTGAAAACTATTTAAATATAACCTCTTTCAGGAAGAGAGGGGTATGTACATATAATTTTACAATGACATTCTTAAGCTTCAGCAAGGTGCAGGTTAGGATGGCCTTTTCTGATCCTATCAGAGGACTGTATGCCTGTACAAAGGCCTTTTAAGGCTACACTTGAAAGAGAATCCTCTGAACTGTCATTCATGCTTAAATTCGACACTTTACACTTAAGTTTGAATAAAGACTCTAATTATCTTACCCATTACAAAGATAGCTTCCCCAATTATCACCTCTAATATCAGTAGCTCACAGACATTTACCTCCCCCCGCATCCCCCTTCTGTTCTGAAATTTGATTTGTCCTTTTCATATGTGTTCATTTTTTTTAATTGTATCCTTTGGTATATATGGTTGTGACAATTTTCTTCCCCTATTTGATCTGAGGAAGTGGGTCTGGCCCACGAAAGCTCATCACCTAATAAACCATCTTGTTACATAGTCCTGTTTTTTGTACAAAGGAGGAGAGTTACAAATGTTGTGGGGAACTATGGTGTGTATAAAATCTCAAATAGATTTACATTACAGTAAGTTCTTGTCTATGATGTGTGAATTTATCTGCCTGTTGATTGTAACTAGCTACTTTTTATCAACAGAATGAGATTCAAAAGCAAACATGAGGAACGCAAGATAGAAGGGGACCTTAGAAAAAGCCAGCGGGCCTGTCAGCAATTAGACACACAAAAGGTAAGGCTAATACATTGCCTTGAGGGAGAAGGCTGGTTTACAGTTTATTACTGGCTGCAAATTTTTTCATCTTCATGTATAACAATGTTATTTGACATCTTATCAATTGTGTGTGATATCAGGGATTATTAAACTAAAATGGCAACTGGCAGAGGGAACAGGGATGCATAAGTGTTACAGGGATCTGGTGGGTCAAATATCTACAGACATGTTTGCTAAAGGATGTCATGTAACATCTCTATTGAAAGTCTGTGTCACACTGATCATCCTGTATGGATAATATATAAGGAGTTACAGGTGTATATATACTGAAACTGATGTTCTTAAGGTTTCTGATGTGGAACTGGCTACCAAAAAGTGTTAAACAAGTTTCTTTCAAGCAACAAACTTTTTCTGGCTGACTGGCTATGTGCAGATTGATTGTAGTATACTTCAAATTAATTCCTGTCTACAGTCTGAAAAAACTACTAATCTAGTGATTGCAAAGTCTCCAGGGGGAGATGCTAGACAGGAAAAGACAAGATATGGAGGATTACCATTATTACAAGTGAAGATAGTGGATTGGCAGAACTATGTCTGGGGATGTAGCAGTAACCCAGATATCCTTCACCTATAAAGTAAGTTGACCATGTGTTTCCCTTATGCAAAAAGGGTCACAGCCAGTGTTCCCTCTCAGGTGCATGCCCGCACACACAAATGTTGAGCCCACCCACCTTCTTTGCAGAGCTATGCAGAAGCACTCATCTTCCTGGCCTTTAAAGGTGAGTGTGGTGGCTGCTCCCATGTCTGGGGATGGGTGGGGGTGGGGACAGAGCCGCAGCCACAATGGGGGAT